TCTCTGACTGGATTCTTCCAGGGACTCTTTCCAATTCTGTTTTGAATTTTAAAACTACCTTACCTTGGGGCTAAGAAGATGACTCAGGCAGTAAAGTACTTGGTGCACAAGCATGATGACCCGAGTTTGGATCCCCAGCATCCTATAAAAAGCCAGATATGGCAGTTTGCACCTGTAATCTGAGTGCCGGACAGGCAGAGACAGGAGGATCCTAGAGCTTGCTGGCCAGCCAACCTGAATTGGTGAGCTCCAGGTTTAGTGAGAGACCCTGTCTCAAAAAAAAAAAAAAAAAGTGGAGAGTTCATTGAGGAAGACTCCTGATGCTGACCTCTGGCTTTTACACACGTGCAGCTGCACGCATGTGTACACACAAGAACATGTAGACACACAGGCCTATGTTAACTAAGAATATTTTTATTCTAGTAGGGAAGAATGTTTTAACTCAGGAATGTATCGCTCTGTTGGTGAAATTTCTGGCACTTGCAGTGGTGGGAGGAGGAATGGAGGAACTTTGAAGGAACCTGCCTGGTCCTTTTCAAAAGTTACATTCTTTATGGTGTGGTGACTTTCTTTGTGCAGGATAGTGTTCCTTTGCCCACATACAGAGGAGGTGCGGTGATCCTCCTTTCTTGAGGCACTGCAGAGGGTTGGGTCTGATGAAGAGGTGATTTCTGTAGGGAAAAGCACAGGCCTTTGAATCACCCAGTCTTGGCTTCAGAATTCCCATGTTCACTTCCCTGATATCATGAAGGAAGCAAGCATTTCCTGAGCATCCGTTGTGTGCCACTCACGGGTTAAATACATTCAGCTTTATTTTCTGCATGGGGAAACCGAGGCTAAGGGTGTTCTTCAGTCACTTCCGTTCTCTGAGACTGTGGACTAATTCTTGACCTCTCTCTTTGCAGTTGCTCTATTGCGAGGTGTGGCTGAGGAAGTCTTCCTGGGGCTACTGCAAGGATTAAGTGAGGCGATAATTATGAGAGCGCCTAGTGGCTTTTGTGTGCCCTTAACAGTCAGCTTCTGCCGCCCTTTCCTTTGGAAGCAGGACTTGCTTCACTTTCAGTAAAGAAAGCCTCATCTGAAGGTCCCCAGGGAGAGGCACGTCTTTGCTCTGAGCTCTGAAATCCCTAGTGCCCACAACTTAATAGACTTACAATTGGTTAATTTTCTCTTGACATTGATCAGCAATGGGTCGTGTCTGGCACCGTTGGCCTGGCCCTCAGGGGGAGCCACGAGATGCTTGGCCTGGCCTCCCTAACCAGAAATTCAATAACTTTTTCATATAAATTGTCCGTAAGAGAAAACTTCTTGTTTTCAGCCATTGTCGCTGCTTCAGCATTTTTCTGTACAAGATGAAAAACTTTTGCATTGAGCAAAATACAGATTTATGGTCAATAAAGTGAAGTTTAACAGTTTATAGGGGCCATACTTTCTTTCTTAAAAACTGATATTAAAAGCCATTTTTCCAAGTCTTTGTAAAAATGGCTCTTCTATCAATCGGCATCCCAGTTTGTTTAAATGATGGGAGAATTAGGAAAACCTCACTCCTCAGAGAGACGGCAGACATCTGTCTATCACCTCCACATATCCTGAAGCTTCAGACATATTGGGGATGTTTATTTTTCTTTTTTTTGGCTGTTTTTTTAATTGATTTTTTTGCAAATTTCATACAATATATTCTGATTGTATTTAGATCCCCTATCCGCATCCCTCTTATCCCCCTTACTGCCCACACCCAATTTCTCTCTCTCTCTCTCTCTCTCACACACACACACACACACACATACACACACATGTATGTATCTAAATTAGTGTTCCCAAATGCCCTTTGGTGTGGGTTCATCCACTGGAGCCTGATCAACCTACCAAGAGTTTCACCCTTAAATGTGACTGACTCTCCTTCTCCCAGTGGCCATTGGTTGTCAGTACTTTCTCAGGTAGAGATGGGGTTTCTTACCCACTTTCTGCCATTTATGCTGGGATTTTGTCTGGTTTGAGCTCCCATAGGACTTATGCAGGCTGCCATCATTGCTGTGAATTCATATGAGTAACTCCCCACGTCTGGAAAACTCTGTTTCCCTGTGGTCATCTACCTCCTCTGGCTCTCACAATCTTCCTGCCCCCTCTTTTGCAATGATCCCTGAGACTTGGAAGGCAGAAATTTGATATACATGTCCTACCCAGGGAGAATCAGCCTGTAGCCTCTTATTTTCTCCATGTAACCCAGTCGTGAGTCTCTGTGTTAATCACCATCTGCTGTATAAAGAAGCTTCTCTGTTGAGAGGTGAAAGATGCATTAATCTATGAGTATAACAATAAGTCATTAGGAGTCAGTTTAATACTATATCTATTTAGCAGAATAATAGTATTGAATCTCCCCTATGACCTGGGACCTGTGTAGCTACAGGTTCCTAGGCTTGATATCAATGTCAAGTATGAGCTCCATCTTATGAAGCAGACCTTAAACCCAACTAGAAAGTGGTTGGTTACTTCTGTAATATCTGTGCCACTCTTGGGCATATCTTAACAGGCCAGTTGTTGTAGCTTATAGGAGTCATAGCTGGATAAGGTTAATGATTAATTTCCTCTTCTTGTGGCATGCATAGAACCTTCCAGCACTATGAAAGCTAGGTAGTAGAGATGAGGCTTTGAAGTAAACACCAGCTTGATTTCTCCTCATTTGTTCTACAGCTCATATATGTAGTGTCTTAAGCAATATGGTCTTACCGTGAAGTTCTGATGGGTAACCAAGAGCAGGGCCAATGGCCAGTATTTTTTGAGAGTCTATGAGACCCAGTGGAGATATTTCTTGACACTGACCATGGCCAAGTTGGAAACTAGAAGTCTCTTGGAACCAGAAGTGGGCTGAACCTCAGATGGGGCTTGAAGAGGGTGCTACCAGTGTATCTAAGACCTGTTGGTACCATTCATTTCTCCAGCACACATTCACTGTACCCATGCTATTTGTTATTGCTGAATTGGGCACTAGGGTGCACAGGTGAATCACATTACCTTCCTGCCCTCCAGGTGTCTGCTGTTGAGGAAGCGGGTCAAGCAGACAGTCACCAACAGCAGTCAGGAATGGGTCTAATCAGACCACCAAGAAAGCACATCTATGGAGACATCTTGGAGGAGGTGAGGCCTGAATTCAGTCCTGAAGACAAATTTGGGAGGGAAGAGCAGCTCTGGCAGAGCAGGTCGTGGGATAGGGTCAGAGCCAATTTCCTTCTAGGTTCTCTTCCTGCTGCGTATCCTAGGCAAGCAGAGTTGGTTTGGCCATAACTGTTCCTAAGCCTCCTATCAGTTTGAAGCTCCCTGCCAGTGTGCCACAGACCCTGCTCATGCCCAGAGTCTGGGAGGTCTGTCCCTACCCATGTGAGACTGCTGCTTCAGACATCATGATGGAGACCCTTCCATTCCTTTCTGCCCCGTCACGCAGGCTCTCAGAGTGTGGTGGATATTATTAAAGCATTGATGGTACCTGGTAGAACTTAAGCATCAGAAAACATCTTCACAGCTTTTTATGACTGACCAGAGAAATCCAGGAAGACTATTGACTATAAAATGGCACTCTAAAGTGTCTTTTTTTTGTCCTAAGAGAAAAGTTACTCTCTTTAAATCTCTCTAGAGCCCAGCGTCAACAGCCCTTCCTACACTCTAACAATCCCATCCCTCTGTGTTCTGTCCCCTCCCTGGGAAACCTGCACTCAGGCTCACATACCATCATCCACATGAACAAATGGTGGTTGGCTAGCTTTTCCTTTTGTGATTCACAGTGGGGCAATCTTTGTAGCTTTTCTTGCAGAAGTGCTGTAGTGCCTCTTGGGTTCTCCCACATGTCCACTGCTCAGGGCTTGCCGGAACCTCAAAAACAGGGGTTCCACCGCTGGCTCCTCCCTAACTGAACTAAGGCAGGCACTAACACTGAGATGTTATTTCCTTTAGGTCTGTTGACATTCTCAGCTGGAGGCATGTTCCTTGCTACACAACTTTGAGTGTGAAATGTCCATCACAGACTCATGTGTTTGAATACTTGGTTCTCTGCCGGTGGTGATGTTTGGGGACTGTGATGGTTAGTGTTGTCAACTTGACAAAATTTAGAATTCCCTGGGAGATGGGCTTCTGAGCATGCCCAAGAAGGATTGTTTTGATTATGTTAATCATCAAAGGGTGGTGCCTTTCCTTGACTGGGATCCTGGACTGTGTGAATGGAGAAAGAGAGCCAAGCAGGCATTCTCCGGTTGCTCCCTGCTCCCGATCCTTTACTTTGGATGTAATAGGACATGGCAGCCTCAGGCTCCTGCCACTGTGGCTTAAGCCGCAGGATGGACTGTAACCTGGACCTGAGAGAGGAAATAAACCTTTTCTCCCTTAAGCCACTGTTGTCAGAGTATTTTATTATAGCAACAGAAAATAAATTAAGACTGGGAGACTGTGGACCTTTTGAGACATGGGGCCTAGCTGGCAGAGGTGGGTTACTAGTGGCAGCCTGAAAAGGCTTCTGGGCCCCACCTGAGCTCATTGCTTCCTGGTCAGCTACAAAGTGAGAAGCAGCAGACACACACTCCAGCTTCCGTGATGGACTGTCTCTTCTGACACCAAGAGCCCAAATAAACCTTTCCTCTCTTGTTTCTGTCAGGTATTTTGTTAAAGTGCGGAGTAAACTAACTAACACATTCCTTGATCCCTGAGCTCACCAGGAGCCCAGGCATGGAGGAATGGGAAGATGTTCTTCAACACCTTGCAATACATGCAGTCCACACACGGAATGGTAAATTTTCTAGTGCCTACATTTAGAAAGGTAAAAAATAAATAGGTGACATTAATTAAATATTAATATCAGCTAGCCAAAATATCATCATTTTAAACATGCAAATGGTAAGAAAATCAATGAGGTATTTTACATTCTTTCTTTTTAGAATCTCTGAAAATTTTCTGCTCAAAATCCAGTGTGTGTGTGTGTGTGCGTGCGTGCGTGTGTGTGTGTGTGTGTGTGTGTGTTTAATATGGACCGCTTCATGAATTTGAGTGTCATTCTTATGCAAGGGCCATGCTAATCTTCTCTGCATTGTTCCAATTTTAGTACATGTGCTGCCAAAATGAGCACCAGTGCATGTTTTGTATTGATAGCACGGCTCAGTTCAGAGTAGATACATTCCACAATGCCCAGTAGCTGCTTCATGTGGCTGATGGTCACTGCATTGGCAGCGCAGATTGGTGTGTGGGAGAGAAAGAGAGAGGATAGAAAAAGGAGGAGGGAAACACTATCTAGAGATGAGGCTTCAAAGAGATGAGAAAGCACTCAAACTTCATCCTGAAGACAGTGGGCAGACACAGGAGGGATTCAGTGGAGGAGAGCTGTAACCGCATTCATATCCCTGGAGGAACTTCTGGATATGCAAATGATGAGGTATTGGGAGGTGCAAGTATGTTTAGAGGCAGAAAGATTTCACTAGAGGAATTGCTTCCTGGAGATCAAGAGGGACTAATGCCCACAGTTTCGGCAGATGGCTTCCAGACTAGGAAGGAAGTAGATCCCACAGGAAGTGGGGATGTGAAGATGACAGGACTCAAAGTCAAGGATGACATGTTCTGCCTATACAATGGCAGGTAGGCTGGACCACTTACACAGTGAACAGAAGGGTTTGATAGTGGGAGATGATGAGAGGTTAGGGGCATGATTTCTGTGAATGGATAGCCAAGCAGAGGAAATGAACTCATAGATCTGGAGTTCAAGGGACTCCTGGGCTCTGACTCTGGTGGACCTTTTTCTGATTTCCACCTCCTGTCTTGAAAATTGGTAGAGACAGCACCCGTAAGGTGTGAGCACAGAGTTCTTTCCACCCACCGGGGGCAGCTTGGCAAGTGGGCTGTCAGATGGTGGTCTGTTTGTATGAGGTCCTTCCTGTTCAGGTCCTGCTCTTAGACCTTTGCTTTCACTCACCCACCCAGCTTGGCCATTTGGCAAAGGTCTAAGACAGGTCAGATTGTTTCGGGAAAAGGAGCAGAGTCAGGAACCAGGAACTCATGGGCTTATCTCTCAGGAACATCTGCCCCTTGACTCTTGAAGCTTCCATCTAATGTTAATTTTCTTTGTCTTCAAATTCTATTGTTTTGTTTTTTCTTTGCAATGCTAGGGACTCAAATCAGAGCCTTGCACAAGCCAGGCAAACACTCTGAAACTGAGCCACACCTCAGCCCTGCTCTCACATTTTTCACAGGCATTGGAGAGCTGCTGCTGCTCTGTCCATTTATTCAGGACTGAAGGGTGGATTCTACCAGCTGCTGAGGAGGTGAACAGCTGATAGCTCTCAACAGTCAGCCCTCTTTGAGAACTACCCTAGGTCCAGAGAGTCCCATTATCCAAGGCCAAGCCCCCTTCCTAGGGCTATCCCATACCCAGTGATTGGTCAGTGCGGAGTACAAAAGCCAGGGCTGCTTGCCTCAGCTTGAGGTAATCCTGATGAGTCACCCCAGCTTCAGAACTCCACTTGACGTGAATCTCTGTCTTGATGTTGGCCTTCCAGGAAACAGCCCATAGTACTTGACTTTGACCCTGGTTTGAAATCATAGTCCCGATCAGATGTTATTGGCATTCGTGCACCCATACCATCTTAGGCGTTCACTCATTTGACCACCAAGTCTCATCTTTGGACAACCCATCAGGCTGTGCTGTTCTTAAATATCTCTCTTCATTCCCTTCCTTTCACCCCATCTCTTTTACTCTGTCTCTTCTCTAACCATAATAAAAATAATCCTTCACCTCTAGGTGTTTCCCTTTCTCAAGCCTGTGTCCCCTGGAAAGTGGGCCTCAGACAGAGGAGAGCTCTTGGCACCGTTGGCATGGTCTCTTCACTGGCTCACCCCAAGGCAGACTGGGCCTGGAGGCAGAAGGCATCTGAGGGCTGTGTCCTTGGAGTCCCTCATGCAGTGCCTTGAGGGGGGCGGGTGATGATTTCTGCAAGGATCTGGGATCTCAAGAGCCCGAGTCGCAAACTCACGTCCCCTCTGAACAATGAGGCTTGATGAACGGGGTGTGATGTGCAATTGCTGATGAATGTCAAGCTGATTCCCTCCGACAATCTACATGGTGCATGTGTGAGAGCAAAACTGTGTTGTCCCAGGAGGGCACAAGGCCGGCTTCGAGTTTCCCAACTTCCTGGCCTCAAAATTGATATGTGCAAAGAAAAAGAGAGAAAGAGAAAGGAGAAAGAGAGAGGTCCACAAAGCAATATTTCCCAAGGCAAAGGCTGACATTGTGACCGTCTCTTTAAGCACTCATATTGCATATTTTTTTCTCAATTGCATCTTCTGACTGACAAAGCTCTTTCTTGCCAAAAGCAACTGTTATAAAATTATGACTTGCGCATATATAATGTTTGTGTTCAACAAGAAAACAGAAACGCCACCTTATTTTGTGGTTACAGCTGCACAATTCACATCCGGCAAGATTGATCATATTAAGGTTATGCAATCATCTAATTGCAGAGAGAAGCCTTGAGTAATAACTCCAAATGCTCACACTTCAATCTGCACGACAGAATCATTGCCGAGTTCTGATTAGCTCCTGCCAGCATTTGGGCGCACTGTTATCTGCTCTGGCATTGTCTAAGTCTCCATTTCCAACCAAAGCAATCTACCCATTAACTGATCTATGACAAACAGACCCATCACAGCAAAGTTGTTTGGGTTGCAAATACATACATAACAAAATAGGACTCTTTGGGTTCTTTCCAGCTCTTTGTAGTGAAGTTTCCTCTCTCTCTCTCTCCCTGGAGAAAACAGCCTCCTCCACCTCCCTCTTCTCCTTCCCCTCCTCTCACTGCCAGGAAGCTGTAGGTGACTGGTCGAGGAATTTGTCAAATATTTACTAAATGAACTCCTACTCAGGTCCTTGGCTCCAAGGCAGCTCACTCAGTTGCTTTTCTGGATCCAATGATACAATGAAAACATGTCCCTTACCCTGTGCTTTGTAGGATTCAGAATGATCTCCAGCTCCACCTGCAATCTTTGAGGGCTCCACTTTTTTGGAGGGGTCTTTCTGAGACTGGGGCTACAGGAAGACACTGTCTCAAAAAGACCAAAAAAAAAAAAAAAAAAAAAAAACAACAACAACAACAACAACAAAAAAACAATGAAATTGAGGGCCAGCAAGATGGCTCATTGAGTAAAAGTGCTTGTGTGCAAGTCTCATGACCTGAGTTCAATCCCTGGAACCCACAAAAAGCCTGATATGGTGGCTCACATTGATAATCACAGTCCTCCTACTGTGAAATGAGAAGTGGAGACAGGAATTGCTCGTAGCTCATGGGCCAGCAATCCTGGAGTACACAGAGTAGCAGAAAAATAAGTGCCTTAATGAGGTGGAAGGACAGAACTGACTCCCAACTGTCCTAGGACCTCCACATGCACACACACAAATAACAATAATAATAATAATTTTGACTGACATGTAATGACTGTGCATATTAGCAGGGTATGATGCAATGTTCAGTTCATACATCCTGTAATGATCAAATCAGGGTAATTAGCATTTCCATCCTATTTAGTGTTTAGCACTTTTTGTGTTGGGAACATTCCAAATCCTCTGCTAGCTACTTTGAAATACATAATAAGTTGTCACAAAGCACATTCACCCTACTGTGCTCTGGACGTGAGAACTTCTTTCTCCTTTCTAACTGTCCCCATCATTTTTGTCCCCATTATCAAAACTCCATCGCCTGTCTGCTCTAGCTAGTCTTTGGTGACCACTATTCTACTTGTCTCTATGTGGTTAACTTTTATTGCCTTCACATAGGAAGATGAGAAGATGTTCCTTTAAATGTCAATCATTGGGTTACTGTAAGCTCCAGACCACCCTAGTCTATAGAGTGACACCTTGCCTCAAACAACAACAACAACAAAGCCCAAAATGCAAATCACATATTAGGCTTTGTTGTTATTATTCCTGTTTTACAGGGTCTCCCTGTAGCCCCAGCTGGCCTGGAACTTGCCATATAGACCAGGCTGGCCTCAGTCTCACACTCACCTGCCACTGCCTCCAGAGTGCTGGATTAAAGGCCATACTAGGATTTTACTTAAAACTTGGCGCCCATTCTCCATCTCTCCGAGGTGAAGCCACAGTCTTCACAACAGTTTTATGAGTCCTGTCGTGACCATGTGGAGTTTCTGCCATTAACCTCCCAATACCCAGGGCTACAGGTGCGTATCGCAGAGCCCGACTCTGCTTTTCCTTGAACATGGCCATGTATACTCTTGCCTCAGGGCCTTTCCCTTGCTGTCCCTGTTGCCTGGAACTCTCTTCCCTTACATACTCTTCCTGGTTTGCTTTTCTTCCTGTGGGTCACTGGTACGATTTCACTTTCTTAGAGACGCCCTCCCTGACTAGCTTACCCAGGTAAACCCCTCCACCCCAGGCCTCGTCCACTCCGCTCTGTCATTTTCATTGGCACATATCACTCTCCAACAAACTGCGTGTTGAGTTGTTTTGTGGGTTGTACTTCCTACCTCTCTCTACCGTAACTCCCTCTAAGAGTTTCCTTCCCTGATGGAAATGTTCTCTATCTGTGCTGTTCAATAGACTTGCTTCTAGAACATGCTGGTGAGCACTTGAATTGTGGCTGGTTGGTGAGATGAGGAGTTGAGTTTATAATTGGATTTGATTTTAATTTAAATTTAAGCAGTTATATGTGGCCAGAGATTACCGTAATGAATAGCACAAGATTTGATGGTCTGCTTCATGAAGGGTGGGCAACTGAGATGCATTATCATAAAGATCACAGATTGTACTTTGACCATATGACTTTTTGTATATGTGTGGTTCTGGGATCAAACTTGGGGCTTCATAATGCTACACAAATATTCTATCACTGAGCTATATCCCTAGGTCTAATAAGCTTGCACTTAAAGACTGATCCTAAGAAAAAGTTATATATAGAAGAATGCTCACTGCACTATTGTGGATAACAGTGAAAAACTGGGAATAATTTATCTAGTAATAAGAGATTGAGTCAAACAGAGTGTCCATATGATAGGGACTATGTGACTATTGAATTCCCGTGGGATCATAAGTGCTGTCATGGATAAAATGTTTATGAACATCATTAA